ATCAACGTATTTTATAGATGTTGCACGACGGGTGTCTTATGTGGAAAAGGATCTGCTAACCCTTCCAAGGCACATAAGATCCTCCCTGGTTTTAGTGAGGTTTGTGTTGCTCAGTCGTTAGATTTCCATGTTGTGTTTTATATAATGTTGTTTGTCTTTTGATCGTTTTTTTTTCATGCATTGTCAGTTTGTATTCGACTTTGAATATCCCTTTGATATATTTTGCCTCTCTTCAAAAATAAGATTAAAACTAGATATTATATTTAGTTTTTAGCATGGAAGCAAGTAACCATCTCATTCACCAAATTAGTAAAGAAATGCTACACTTGTAAGTTAATAGATAGATTTAGGTTTTTTTATTTTTTTGTTATTTCATAGTATAAATAAATTCTTATATAGTTAGTAGAATATCACAAATTAATGGGGTTGTTTTTCTTGTGAGGTAATTCTTTTTCATCTTATTTAGTTTTTAGCATGGAAGCAAGTAACCATCTCATTCACCAAATTAGTAAAGAAATGCTACACTTGGAAGTTAATAGATAGATTTAGGTTTTTTTAATTTTTTTTTATTTCATAGTATAAATAAATTCTAATATAGTTAGTAGAATATCACAAATTAATGGGGTTGTTTTTCTTGTGAGGTAATTCTTTTTCATCTTATTGTTTTAATATTCAAAATATAACTGTTTAAAATGGCTTTTTTTATCTCTTTTTTCTCACGCGAGAAAACTTAAAAACATTTTGGACTCCTGTTATCTAATTGATGGATTGGTAACATGTTAATGATAACAAACAAATTGGAAATGTAATTTTCCCATATTCTTGAGCGACTGATATTATCAGAGAAACTTAAAACTAGGTTTTGTAATGCAAAAATAGACTTAATGGTGACCAAATTATCAGATGATTTTCTTCACGGCTTTGGACTTACACAAATATCTGATTGTGTCATTGTGCTACACTAAATCAAAATGGCAAAAACCCACCAATCTTAATCAAATTGATGATACAATATGGTGAATCAAATATGACGACATACAATTCCAATAAGTCAGTGGCGACAAATGACGGTCTAACGGTCTCGGAGAATAAGTGTTCACAAAGTCTAAGGACAGGACATACTAGAATGATACTGCTTGGGGCAAACACTGACTCGCCGGAATATTTTTCACTTCATATCACAACAAAAGTGAAAACTCCCTCATTTACATAAACTTATTGACTGAATTATTTTTTCTTTCGTGCGTTCTTTCATGGAAATAAATGTTACACTATAGATTCATCATTACAGCCAATCTATTATAAAGCCAATTCCCTTGACTGACCACAGTATGTTTATGTACATACAATGCCAATATATTTTAATGAAAACACTACAACATATACAAAATAGTGAAAAACAGTTGTGTAAATATGAAACATAACTACAGAGTCATTTGTTATAAGTGAATTGAATCATACACATATATCTAATCATTTATTACGACGTACCTATCTGTCATATAGCTTCTCAAGTATTCAAGTATTTATACATCCTTGGCTTTTACATGTTAAGGTTTGTGCGTCGTTCCTGATGAAGACTGATATAAAAAAAGCTCTCAAGACACACTGAATTTATAAAATGTTATATCCAAAATGTAAGTATCATTCTTTTCAATTTCACATTTGAAACTATTTCCTCCTTCACATAATCCATTTCCCAAAACATTAAAACAACAAGTTTCAATATCATCTGATGTTTATTTCAGTAAAGAGTTAAAATTAATTAATCTCAATATTTTTTTCACTTTATTTCTAAATAATTTCAAATCAAAAAACTATCAAGAGTACCCTCAAAAAGCTATATCCATAAGAATTGATCTGAAACAAAAGACAACAGAAAAAAAAACACATGAATAGTTGTGCTTTGTTTGATTGACTACTCAGTATAAAAGGTAAATGTTAAAAGGTTTATCTGTTGTGTAACAGCACTTTTAATTCCAATACATGCTGGCACGAAATAATAAATATTGTTCACTGAATTAGATATTTCGGAATAAAAATCAGATTAGATATCTTCGTTAGGGAATCCAAATATTTAAACTATCATATCCCTATATTATGCTTCAAAAAATAACTCATAGTGGAGAAAATTGACTTGGAAAAAAAAATGATAGTTTTGATGAAAACAGTAGCATAAAGGTACAATCAAAACCCACGAATGATGAACTATTCATGCAAATACCCCGATTGTATTTTCAATTTAACAATCTGGTTGAACAAGGTAAAGATTAAGGACAGCACATACAGTCAACTATGTGTATTATATTACAAATTAAAATAAAACAGTACCGACCGGAAAAAACTTTCTAGTTCCGGGAGAGCACACATTTTATATTACCTTGTTGTATTAAGATACAAGTCTTTTAAACATGCACATGCAAAAACAGGTGATATTGGATAACAGTATGTTCTTTGTCCTCGATCATTATTGATTTTTGAAACAACAAAAACAATTGAAAACAATACATGATTGTCCGAACAGAATATGATGCTTTATGCTTAAGGTAGTTAATATAACTATTAATGCTATATAATAACAATATAAAGTAGCCCTGTTTGTCCTTTTAATGTGCGCTGTTCGTCATTTTCGGAAGTAATGGAATTTTAGGTAGTTTTTTACATTTCAATAATTTTGATCTAATGTAAAAATATGAAGAAACAACAGAACAGACCAGAGCTAACTTCTTTGTTCTGGAGGAGATAAAGGTTTATATTACGTGGCGGTAAACAAGTATGAAAGAAAATGTAAGTAGTCATTGAAAAGAAAATGAGTTTTTTAATTACATGAAAGTAAAACAGACTGTACAAGCTCATCAAAGATACTAGACTTAACATTTGGTAGACCTAACGTGCGGTCTGTCTACACCATACTCATTAGTGTTGCCCGATTCAAAAAACGTTGTAAAACCCTGCATTGTCTATCTAAGTAGCACCAGCTGTCTTTTATCAAGTTATCAATCAATGATGATTGGATAGGAGCAACTGACAAATAAACTTATCAAAGATACAAAAGGACGACGTTACTTATTACAGAAAAAGTCCTGAGGTAATCTGACAACTTAAAATCAATAACTTTTTTTCAATTAGACATGTAATGGACACAAAGTTTCGATGACTTTTTTTGTAATGGACAAATTCAGACATGCAATAATTCAATTGCAATGTAAAGCCTCGTGTCCTTGTAATGTGTCGACTGGTCCAATCAAAGCTCCAAAGAGGTAGGTTTTCATAAAGAAACACAAATTCTGAATTGGTCCATGATTCCATGTGTATGTGTAGAGGGACGTTTTTAGATTGTGTCATATTAAAATTTTATAGCGCTTGGTCGATTCGACTGCCTTTGGTGTATAAGACCCCGAGGGCATTTTCAGCTCAGTAGATTTTCAACTGACATTATTTGTAACATTCGTTTTTTTATATTCTCCGTTATAAATAAGGAAATTTAGAATAATGTATCATACGAAAGAAAAGTAGAATGATTTCTGTTCTATAACTCAATTCATCTATTTGGCGAAAAAGTGTAGTTCTGACCGACTGTCACTGATAATTTCTTATTATGTGTCAATTAAAGAAACAGAACACCTTTATCATCGGTATGTTTTACTTCAAATTCAGTTCATAAGATTCGATCAACATGATCATATTCTAACATCTTGTGCGGTTTACTAGTATGTTTGTTATGAAGCCGGCTTCAATAAGTGTAAGTGCATAACCAAAACAAAATGACAGGTATCAATACTATTTCAAAACAATTGTATAGTCGTAATTAACTGTAAATTTAATGTGTTTTATAAATTTTGACATTCTACCTTCTATTTAAAACTACTGAAAAGAACTAAATTATATGATTTAATTCTGGTGAGTTCCTTAATCTTTCAATAGTAATGACAACAGATGTGATAAACTATCTCATTTATTTAAAGGGTCTTTTTCATTCGATTAACTGACGATTTAAAAAAAATACTGGCATCTCAAAACTACTGCCGATTTCAACTACTCTTTTCGAGGCGACATCATGAAATTTAAAATAGCTCTAAATAAATTTGGTGCATCCGAAACACTTTTTTGAATTACTTTCTTCAGGATCGCTTAAACCCAAAAATTGAAATCTAAGGATGTGTAAATATTTGACCTCTATGACCAAAATGAACCTTATATATCTAGATTCATCTGAAGTCAACTTTATATGAGGAAGGTAAACCTTTAGCTTCTTAACATTTTCTTATTTGAAACCTGTTAGAAGGATTGTTTATGATATTTTCCTTTGAGTGACAGTATTCAACCAACAGCGATGGATACCTTAGCTAGCTGTCTGTGGTATCGAGTACATTTAAATCTTGATAACGTTAAAACGTGCCGACGATTTTTTTTTTTTTTTTTTTTTTCAAGTTAGAATCTATCTTTTATTGTAGAAGAACTGTGCAGAAAAGGAGCAAAGATACCAAGAGGGCAATCAACATTCATAAGTCCAATAAAAAGACAACACCATGGTCAAATACAGAAACGACGAAAAGACAACACCATGGTCAGATATAGAAACGACGAGAAGACAAACAGCATAACATTACAAGTATTTCATCGTGTTGTTAACTTTTATGACATGTGATCGATCAAAAGTATGTTTTGCGCATGTAGAGCTGGTTTTACCCTACTACATTTTGTGAATCAACCTATTCAGGTTATCTTGAACATGTGTTGATCGTTGTTGCTTATCTTTGTTTGTATGTTTATTTTATGGGCGAAGTCAGTGTTGGTGGTTTTGCTGTCTCAAGCACAGTAAAAACCAAGGGCTGAGTTCTATTACTCGATCATTTTCAATTCCAGAAAAAACGAACTGTGTCATTTGTGGAAGCAAATTTGAATCATTTCAAAATTGCATTTAATCAAGTGTTTCGTCTGAAATCACCAATCTAAGTATTTGTCGATCTAATTATCAATATATTACAAAAACATGTTCATCAGTTTAATTCCTTTATTGTTCACTATAAATACAAGATACTCCGCCTTCTACAAAAAAATAGATATGATAAGTATTAGTTCACTAGTATTTTGCTTCTGTAAAGTTGTATTATATTTTTTATCGCTGTCAATGTTAATGCTTACTTTTTTAACTCTTGGATTTGAACGTGCTGGACGATTTTTATTACAACAGCATGTGTTGTCCTCACTTAATTTCGAATTAATACATATATTGTAGTTAAGATTACACTTTAGATCTCTTTCAATTAATTTTGAGTCTTTCGATTTTCAATTGTCAAAACCAAACTTAATAAAAATAAAACCAAGTAGGTAATAACATTTAACAAACAGCTGCAGTAAGTAATTTCACCTATGTGTTGTTGATTCTAATATATTGAATTGTTTAAATATCTCTCAATAAACTTTTAAAACAACAGAAGGAACACAAGACAAATAATCTACATTGTATTACAAATTTTAAGCTTTATTATAGAAATAGCTTGCTTTTTCTTTCAATTCTTATTATTTTTTTTTGTCTTTGGTCGACGCCTATTGAAACTAATTCATTGGGGAAAATATATGTTATTGGGTGACTACTTTTCTTTACAATTTTTTTCAACTTGAAAAAGACTGCACCGTGTTAAATAAACTAATTATAGATACCATGATTTAAAGTTTGTACACCAGACGCGCGTTTCGCCTACAAAAGACGAATTGTTATGGAAGTTTCAACGTGTCAAAATAAATTGGAAAGATTAACTTCTTAAATAAAAAAAAACAATCTGAATTAAAAGTCTTCAGAAAACGAAACGCATTAAGATTCCAGTCTTATAATTTTGGACGGTGTTTCGTCTACAAAGTACTCAACAGTGACGTTCGAATAAAGTTGAAAGGCCAAATAAAGTACGAAGCGGAAGAGGAAAGTAAAAGTATGTTTGCTTTGATTACCTTTGTAATCAGTAATGGGAATCATCACCATATGCTGCCGTCTTCACAACCACTGTTTTAGGAGCGTAGCCAACGCCGTAATCTGTTTTTAACAAATAAATAATTGAGTATTCTTCTTTTTAAAAGTTACATTTTTTACAATTTTTTATCTGAATCAGATATAACTATTTTTCCAACATATTGATTTTTTTTTCAAATCCTTACGACTTTTTTTGTAAGGATGCTGTTAATATATCATTGTATAAATAGACCTTAGGTTGTCGCATATTTTGATAATATACATAGACTATTTTGATTCGTATTTTGTCTTTCTTGCATTTTGTCTAGATTTGGCGATTTCGAAATTTAAAGCATGCTGAATATGTTTTTAAAGCCTCACCACAACATCTTAATTTCTAAACAATGTCCTAGACATTAGAACTTACACAAAGTCATATCAATATTCAAATTAATTGAAATTGGTTTTGAAACAATGAAATTACCTATATCTCTTTAGATTCTACAAAAACAAATCATGATCAAGAACATGAAAATAATTACCTCAAGGTATACAGCGAAGAGGTGTTTGTTTAGCAGTCGACCAAAACAGGCATTTTTGCTTTGATAACTAGACCAGCAATCAATACTTCTTATGATTGCTGAACATTGTCCTAAACAGGGTATATTCAATCGATGTCATATTGTCATTTTTAATTCATAGAAACAATAAATAAAGGCAACAGTAGTATACCGCTGTTCGAAACCTCATAAATCGATAGAGATAAAAACAAATCCGGGTAATAAACTAAAACTGAGGGAAACGCATCAAATATAAGAGGAGAACAACGACACAACAAAAACACAACATTAAAATGTAACACACACAGAAACGAACTATAATATTACAATGGCCATTTTCCTGACTTGGTACAGGACATTTTAAGAAAAAAATGGTGGGTTGAACCTGGTTTTGTGGCATGCCAAACCTCCCGCTTTTATGGCAACGTCAAACACAACACCAAAACGACAACAACACATGACAGGACCACAATACAAATAAATGGGAGAACATATAGGACAAAGAAACACACGAATAATAGCTAACAAAGGGTACTAGGCTTAAAATTCAATACGCCAGACGCGCGTCTCGTCCACACAAGACCAACCAGTGACACTCAGATGAAAAAAGTTTGAAAGCCAAAACAAGTACAAAGCTGAAGAGCACCGAAGACCAAAAATTCCAAAAAGTTGCGCCCAACACGGCCAGGGTTTTCTGCCTGGGACAAGAACATCCTTATCATTTAGAATAATTTATAATTTTGCAAACAGTAAATTTTATAAAATGACTATATAATAGATATACATGATAAAACCAAAGTGGGGACTAACTACAGAATAAAAACGGATACATTACATAAAACAACTTAATCCAAGACATAAAAAAATACACAGCCGATTTAGCCAAAGCATCAACGCACAAAGTGACGTCACATTTGAAATTCTAAAAAAACACACAAAGTGACGTCACAATTGAATTTGAAAAAATATTTCCCAAAAATAAAATAGGATTAGGATTGATTAAAGATTAGATTTGTAATACTGACATTACATTTATTAATAACAATGAAAATTACAATACTTATTAATATCAAATGGTAGTAATTAGATAATTAATTGTAAAATACTCATACTTTGTAGATTTATTTTAATTATGGGCTAGTTCTGATAAAAAACATAACAGTTAATTACCTCCGGAATATAATTCGAAGAGATTGTTCTTCATGAGTCGCCCAAAACAGACACTCCTTCTATGATAACTAGACCAGCAATTACTCCATGAATTGTAAAAATTTTGTAGTCCACATTTTAGTGCGTATGCTAGAAAAATATTTCATGATATGTTTTAATTTAAAAGTGAAAATTAAGCAAATATTATAAATAATTTTCTTATGTTTAGGTTAATGTCTAACGCTGATATAAGATGAGAGTAAACATAAGAACTAACTATCTGCAATATACTATATTCTATGAAGTATGCAAGTATCGTTTTTTACATTCCCGTCTAGTAACACATGGTATAAGTGAAATTGGATTTTGAACTAGTTTTCAGTTTCTGCATGTTCTATTAGATCAGGACTATATTTTGTTATGATTTTATCATTTGGTTAGTAATTAATGAAGATCTGTTGTGGCAAGGCCTTACAATAATTTTTTTAAAGTTTGTTCTAATGTTGTGCTGTTACACCAGTTCCTGGTTTTAGTGAGAGTTGAGCAATCATAAACATATTTAAAACCACAATATTCTACGTTTGCCTATCGCAAGCTGGTATTCTAGAAGTTAAATAGTAGTCGTTGGATACCTCTTTATTACTTGTTACACTTTTCATACTATTGGTTCCCCTACAGCTCACAATGCATGCGTTTTGTTGATCGTTAAAGGCCATTCGGCGACATGTAGTTATTTACATCCTCGTTCATTCGTCTATTATGAAAAGTTGTATACTTGGCCTTTCAAAAAATTATCTGACGTCTACTTTTTATAAATAGGTTTTCATTGCCCATATACGATGAAAATAACAAAAGGATCTTTATTTCTTTGTAATTTAGTACAAAATTTTTAATGTCTATCTTCCCCCATAAAATCAGCTACTCTAATGAATTCATCTCACAATGAGATTTATACTGTGTTATACAAAATGCACTTTTTGTAATCATCAATTTACTTAATTCACTCAAACATGATATCTTTTTTACGTAGGACAAGTTTAGAATACTATAGTCATCTTCTTAAACTGTAAAACTTGCTCACCTTTTCCTCCGTATGAAAATCGGTTGTGACTGATTTTGAATCCATGGAATTTCTTGTAGTAATCCAAGTAACTCACTACGTGTCCGACACCATAACTGGTACCGTAGTCATATTTACCATGAAGTTTATTGATATAATGTTCGTGTTTTACGTGTTGGTATTTAATGTTCAACTGATGCTTTTTGTTCTGATACTCGCGTTCATTCAAATGTCTTTTATGTTGGTATTCAAGAGCTGAAAGATGATGTTTTGTGTGTTGGTGAAGTCTATTTATGTGGAAATCTACGAGTGCTTTAAATCTATTAATGTGTTTATTGGCCACGCTTGAAATTCTGTGAACATGTTTTTCAGCCTGGTAAGCAATATTACGTTCGTGTTTGTTAGATAAGTGTGATATGCTGGCAACATGTTTGTTGGCTACATGATGAATTCTATTCACATGGTAATTGGCAATCTTTTTGTGCTTGTACAAATAATTTAATCCGACTCCATAATGACCTGTAAAATTAATAACTACATTGATACTCAATGAATTCACAAAATATAATTGTATGAAACCGATTGCAGTGATAATTTAAATAAATTTTGATTACAGTGTAGCTATTTCATTTTTTTCCGTTTTTACCATCCTTCCAGCTAATGGATTATTCAAACAGATTTCGACTGTTCTTACTAGTTCTTTTTTCTTTCATATATTCAATGTTTTCATTCATAAGTAGCTGCTCAAAGTGTCTGCAAATTGGTAGAAATAATCAACAAATATGTTCTAGGCATGCAGTATATAATATCAGTGCCTTTGAAATTAATAGTTGTACACATCTTACAATTCTTATTTGAAATTGTTTTGCATATTTTCTTTATCAAGCTTGTCCTTTCGGAGTACAGAAAAAAACCAATACCAAAACATGCGTAAAATTTATCTTATTTTCGGATCCGCGGCAGTTGTGTCCGCCCTCATTTCATTTAGAGATTCCTATTACTCTTAATTTCTGTACTAATTTGTATATCTGTTGCTTTATGTTTTCGATCCTCTTAGACTTGTGATTTGTAATGTAACTAGAGTATGCATTTTCTTCTTCCCTCAATATTTAATAAAAATATAAGAAACATAAACAATTCTATATTTTGCTTCAACATGTCGTTAACGAATATACCTCCACCGTATGTATAGAACAGATGTTGTCTTCTCAGTCGTCCAAAACAGGCACCTACACTATGATACTGATCATAGCAGTCACTCCATAGTCTGTAGAACCGGCCACTGCTACATTTCAGTCGGTATGCTGTAATTAAAAATTATCTTTTTCTTAGGTGTTACGTTGTTAAATGCTTAAATAAGTCTATGTAAAATAAAAATTCTTCTTTTTGAAACTTTTAGAATAATTTCTTCTTTATCTAAAAACAAGAAATGAAACACAAAACACAAAACACAAGAAAAATGTTTGATTGAAGTCATAAAAAAATTAGATTTAATTGAGACTTCGTAACCATGTTTTCAATGAAGTAGCTCAAAATAACTTTGTATTGAAATGATTTATAATTGAGATGGTCTTACACCCCCCCCCCCCCCCCCCCCAATAGAATACCTTTTTGTTCAAGCATAGCCGTTACTGATGAGTCTTTTGTGGACGAAACACGCGTCTAGCGTATGAAATTTTAATCCTGGTATTTATGATGAGTTTATTTATACAGTTCAGCAATATGACTTTATATAAACAAAGCGTTTACTAATTCGGTTTATATTTCAGATGTTTTATTTTTATTTTCTATTAAAGAATGCACATTTTTAGTAACAACTTACAAACTCCATGATATAAAAATCGATTATGGCTTATTTTGAATCCATGATGGCCCCTGTAATAACCATAGCTGTATTTCCCATGACTGTATCCACCAAAAACGCTACCATATGAGCTACCTGTAAAATATTAATAAACATAAATCAATTTGTCGCGTAAAATTTTTAAAAAAAACAGTTACAATTGTATTTTTCACTATCATACATCTGTTACAATGAACATAAGTCTTTTAAATTGGTTACGTCCGAGGCGATTCCCTGAATTAATCTTCGTGAGTAACGCTCAAAGCCAAAAGTTTAAAAGCCAGAATAGTTCAAATACTTGAAAACATATGAGACAATATGACAAGTATCGAAAATTACATGTTGTGCCTTTACGGTTATTTTGAAATATATTTCGAGTTCTATAGTTTATACAGTTGTTCGTGTTGTTATTGCTAATTTTTCAATGTGTTCTAAAGTAATTCTGTATTTGTTGTGCCTGTTTATATCGGTAACGGTTTTGTTTACCATGAGAACGTTTTTTTGAGTTTCAAAATATTAACATTGGGAGTTATGGTTTCGTCATAAATTTGGTAAGAATTAATTTCGAGTTATGCAAGAACCAAAAACTAATTCACTCTTGTATTATGAGTTATCATATGTTTGTACTGTTCAATTGCTTCTATATGACGGTTATGCCATCTGTCAATAGTTGTTCAGAAGCAGATGACCCTTCCTGATCAGATGCACTCGGTACTTGGAAAGATTCAAATTGTTCAATCTAAACTTTTCTTCGGTGGAGTATTTTATGGACTGTTTGATGTTTTATTTGTTATTCTTTTAAGTGTAGGCGATTTTATGTTTTTGGGAGGGGTTTTTTTTTTTGGTCTTCTTAGACTTATTGCATTTCATTGTGACTTTATCAATTCCTACATATTCTCCCAAGTATCTATAACTAAAATCTAAAACTGATGACTCTTTATTTGGAATTGGGTTAATTTTTACTTTCTATCCCAAGTAAATACTAAACTTTTTGAAAACATAGAGATTTATAATTTTCGTTATATATCGTTAACGAATATACCTCCGACGTATTTATAGAACAGATTTTGTCTGCTAAGTCGTCCAAAACAGCCACCTACACTATGATACTGATCATAGCAATTACTCCATAGTCTGTAGAACCGGCTGCTGCTACATTTCAGTCGGTATGCTGTAATTAAATGTTATCTTTTTCTTAGGTGTTACTATGTTAAATGCTAAAACAAGTCTACATAATTTTAAAAAAAATACTTCTTATTTAATTTTTTAATATAATTTCCTTCTTTATCTAAATACAAGAACTGAAACACAAAACACAAAATAAAATGTTTGATTGTAGTCTTAAAAATATTGTATTTAATTGAGATTATGTGAAAATGTCGTGACCGAAATTATAACCATGTTTTCAATGAAGCAATTATAAATGACTTTGTGTTGAAATGATTTATCATTGATATGATCATAATTTTAATTAACTGTTTACAAAACTTAGTATGTTTCGAAATACTACGGATTTTCTTCCCCAGGAATAGATTACCTTATCTGTATTTGGCAAAACATTTCGGAATTTGGGGTCCTCAATGCTCTTCAACTTCGTACTTTATTTGGCCATTTTCCCTTTTTTTAAGCGTTACTGATGAATTTTCCGTACAAAATTTTAATTCTGGTATCTATAATGAGTTTACATATATCGTTCAGCAATATTCTTCTGACTTCATACAAACAAAGCGTTTACTAATTCGGTTTATATTTCGATACTTTATTTTCACTTTCTATTGAGGAATGGATATTTTTAGTGACAACTTACAAGTTCCATGATACAAAAATCTGTTATGTCTTATTTGAAATCCATGATGGCTCCTGTAATAACCATAGCTGTATTTCCCTAGATTGTATCCACCAAAAACGCCACCATATGAACTACCTATAAGTATTTATAAACATAAATCAATTTGTCACGTAAAATTTTAAAACAAATCAGTTAAAATTGTACTTAAACTAACAGACAATTGTTACAGTGAACATAAGACTTTTAAATTGGTTGCGTTTGAGGCAATTCCCTGAATTAACCTTCGTGAGTAACGCAAAACAAAACGTTTCAAAGCCAAGGTAGTTAAAATACTTGAAAACGTATAAGACAATATCGAAAATTTTATGTTGAACCTTTACGCTTATTTTAAAATATATTTCCAGTTCTATAGTTTATAAAGTTGTTCGTGTTGTTATTGCTAGCTTTACAATGTTGTACTAAGTAATATTTTATTTGTTATGCCTTTGTTTTATCGGTAACGGTTTTCTTTACCCTGAGAACGTTTTTAAGTTTGGAAATATTAATATTCGGAGTTATGGTTTGGTAATACATTTAGTAGGAATTTATTTCGAGTTATGCAAGAAATATAAACTATTCCACTCTCGTATTTTGAGCTATCATATGTTTGAACTGTTCATTTGCTTTTAATATGATGGTTATGGCATCTGTCACCAACTGAGCAGAAAAAGATTACCTTTCCTGGGCAGAAGCACTCGGTACTTGGAAAGATTTGAATTGTTCAATCTATACTTTTCTTCTGTGAAGTATTTTGAGGTGTGTTTGTCGTTTTATTTGTCATTCCTTTAAGGCTGGACGATTTGTTTTTTTGGGGAGGGGTTTCGTTTGGTCTTCTTATACTTATGACATTTCATTGTGACTTTATTAATTCTAATATGTTCTTCAAAGTATCTTTAATTAAAATCTAAAACTTTTGACTATTAATTTGGAATTGAGCTTATTTTTACTTTCTATCCTAAGTGTATATATATATAATGTTCTGGAAATATAAAGATTGAGAGATAATTTATCTTTACATATCGTTAAAGAATATACCTCCAACGTATTTATAGAACAGATTTTGTCTGCTAAGTCGTCCAAAACAGCCACCTACACTATGATACTGATCATAGCAATTACTCCATAGTCTGTAGAACCGGCTGCTGCTACATTTCAGTCGGTATGCTGTAATTAAATATTATCTTTTTCTTAGGTGTTACTATGTTAAATGCTTAAACAGGTCTATATAATGTACAAAAAATACTTCTTTTCTAATTTTTTAAAATAATTTCCTTCTTTATCCAAACTCAAGAACCGAAACACAAAACATACAGAAAAATATTTGATTGTAGTCCTAAAAATATTGTATTCAATTGAGACTTCGTAAAATGTCGTGACCGAAATCATAACATGTTTTCAATGAAGCAACTCAAAATTACTTTGTGTTGAAATGATTTATCATTGATATGGTCATGATTTTAAATTACCTGTTTACAAAACTTATAATGTTTCCAAAATATTACGCATTTTCTACCCCAGGAATAGATTACCTTATCTGTATTTGGCAAAACATCTCGGAATTTGGGGTCATCAACGCTCTTCAACTTCGTACTTTATTTGGCCATTTTCCCTTTTTTGTTCAAGCGTTACTCTGATGACTTATGCGAACAAAATTTTAATTCTGGTATCCATGATTAGTTTATTTATATAGTTCAGCAATATTCTTCTGACTTCATACAAACAAAGCGTTTACTAATTCGGTTTATATTTCGATACTTTATTTTCATTTTCTATTGAGGAATGGATATTTTTAGTAACAACTTACAAGTTCCATGATACAAAAATCTATTATGTCTTATTTGGAATCCATGATGGCTCCTGTAATAACCATAGCTGTATTTCCCTAGACTGTTTCCACCAAAAACGCCGCCATATGAACTACCTGTAAATATTTATAAACATTAATCAATTTGTCACGTACATTTAGTAAGAATTAATTTCGAGTTATGCAAGAAACATAAACTATTCCACTCTCGTATTATGAGCTATCATATATTTGAACTGTTCATTTGGATTTAATATGATGGTTATGGCATCTGTCACCAACTGAGCAGAAACAGATTATCCTTTCCAGGGTAGATGCACTCGGTACTTGGAAAGATTCAAATTCTTCAATCTATACATTTCTTCGGTGAAGTAATTTGTGCATTGTTTTTCGTTTTATTTGTTATTCATTTAAGGCTGGACGATTTGGCTTTTTGGGGAGAGGTTTCGCTTGGTCTTCTTATACTTATGACATCTCATTGTGACTTTATTAATTCTTATATGTTCTTCAAAGTATCTATAATTAAAATCTAAAACTTTTGACTCTTAATTTGGAATTGAGCTCATTTTTACTTTCTATCCCAAGTATATATATATAATGTTCTGGAAATATAAAGATTGAGAGATAATTTATCTTTACACATCGTTAACGAATATACCTCCAACGTATTTATAGAACAGATTTTGTCTGCTAAGTCGTCCAAAACAGCCACCTACACTATGATACTGATCATAGCAATTACTCCATAGTCTGTAGAACCGGCTGCTGCTACATTTCAGTCGGTATGCTGTAATTAAATATTATCTTTTTCTTAGGTGTTACTATGTTAAATGCTTAAACAGGTCTATATAATGTACAAAAAATACTTCTTTTCTAATTTTTTAAATAATTTCCTTCTTTATCCAAACTCAAGAACCGAAACACAAAACATACAGAAAAATATTAGATTTTAGTCCTAAAAATATTGTATTCAATTGAGACTTCGTAAAAATGTCGTGACCGAAATCATAACCATGTTTTCAATGAAGCAACTCAAAATTACTTTGTGTTGAAATGATTTATCATTGATATGTTCATAATTTTAAATTACCTGTTTACAAAACTTATAATGTTTCCGAAATATTACGGATTTTCTACCCCAGGAATAGATTACCTTATCTGTATTTGGCAAAACATCTCGGAACTTGGGGTTATCAACGCTCTTCAACTTCGTACTTTATTTGGCCATTTTCCCTTTTTTGTTCAAGCGTTACTCTGATGACTTTTGCAAACAAAATTCCAATTCTGGTATCCATGATGAGTTTATTTATATAGTTCAGCAATATTCTTCTGACTTTTAAAAACAAAGCGTTTACTAATTCGGTTTATATTTCGATACTTTATTTTCATTTTCTGTTGAGGAATGGATATTTTTAGTAACAACTTACAAGTTCCATGATACAAAAATCTATTATGTCTTATTTGGAATCCATGATGGCTCCTGTAATAACCATAGCTGTATTTCCCTAGACTGTATCCACCAAAAACGCCGCCATATGAACTACCTGTAAATATTTATAAACATAAATCAATTTGTCACGTAAAATTTAAAAACAAATGAGTTAAAATTCGTTTTAAACTAACAGACAATTGTTACAGTGAACATACGATTTCTAAATTGGTTGTGTCCGAGGCGATTCCCTGAATTTACAATCGTGAATAACGCAAAACAAAAAGTTTCAAAGCCAAGGTAGTTAAAATACTTGAAAACGTATAAGACAATATCGAAAATTATATGTTGAGCCTTTACGGTTATTTTAAAATATATTTCCAGCTCTATAGTTTATAAAGTTGTTCGTGTTGTTATTGCTAGTTTTTCAATGTTGTACTAAGTAATATCTTATTTGTTATGCCTTTGTTTTATCGGTAACGGGTTTTTTTTTACCCTGAGAACTTTTTTGAGTTTGAAAATGTTAATGTTCGGAGTTATGGTTTGGTAATACATTTAGTAAGAATTAATTTCGAGTAATGCAAGAAACATAAACTATTCCACTCTCGTATTATGAGCTATCATATATTTGAACAGTTCATTTGGATTTAATATGATGGTTATGGCATCTGTCACCAACTGAGCAGAAACAGATTATCCTTTCCAGGGTAGATGCACTCGGTACTTGGAAAGATTCAAATTCTTCAATCTATACATTTCTTCGGTGAAGTAATTTGTGCATTGTTTTTCGTTTTATTTGTTATTCATTTAAGGCTGGACGATTTGGCTTTTTGGGGAGAGGTTTCGCTTGGTCTTCTTATACTTATGACATCTCATTGTGACTTTATTAATTCTTATATGTTCTTCAAAGTATCTTTAATTAAAATCTAAAACTTTTGACTCTTAATTTGGAATTGAGCTCATTTTTACTTTCTATCCCAAGTATATATATATAATGTTCTGGAAATATAAAGATTGAGAGATAATTTATCTTTACACATCGTTAACGAATATACCTCCAACGTATTTATAGAACAGATTTTGTCTGCTAAGTCGTCCAAAACAGCCACCTACACTATGATACTGATCATAGCAATTACTCCATAGTCTGTAGAACCGGCTGCTGCTACATTTCAGTCGGTATGCTGTAATTAAATATTATCTTTTTCTTAGGTGTTACTATGTTAAATGCTTAAACAGGTCTATATAATGTACAAAAAATACTTCTTTTCTAATTTTTTAAAATAATTTCCTTCTTTATCCAAACTCAAGAACCGAAACACAAAACATACAGAAAAATATTAGATTTTAGTCCTAAAAATATTGTATTCAATTGAGACTTCGTAAAAATGTCGTGACCGAAATCATAACCATGTTTTCAATGAAGCAACTCAAAATTACTTTGTGTTGAAATGATTTATCATTGATATGTTCATAATTTTAAATTACCTGTTTACAAAACTTATAATGTTTCCGAAATATTACGGATTTTCTACCCCAGGAATAGATTACCTTATCTGTATTTGGCAAAACATCTCGGAACTTGGGGTTATCAACGCTCTTCAACTTCGTACTTTATTTGGCCATTTTCCCTTTTTTGTTCAAGCGTTACTCTGATGACTTTTGCAAACAAAATTCCAATTCTGGTATCCATGATGAGTTTATTTATATAGTTCAGCAATATTCTTCTGACTTTTAAAAACAAAGCGTTTACTAATTCGGTTTATATTTCGATACTTTATTTTCATTTTCTGTTGAGGAATGGATATTTTTAGTAACAACTTACAAGTTCCATGATACAAAAATCTATTATGTCTTATTTGGAATCCATGATGGCTCCTGTAATAACCATAGCTGTATTTCCCTAGACTGTATCCACCAAAAACGCCGCCATATGAACTACCTGTAAATATTTATAAACATAAATCAATTTGTCACGTAAAATTTAAAAACAAATGAGTTAAAATTCGTTTTAAACTAACAGACAATTGTTACAGTGAACATACGATTTCTAAATTGGTTGTGTCCGAGGCGATTCCCTGAATTTACAATCGTGAATAACGCAAAACAAAAAGTTTCAAAGCCAAGGTAGTTAAAATACTTGAAAACGTATAAGACAATATCGAAAATTATATGTTGAGCCTTTACGGTTATTTTAAAATATATTTCCAGCTCTATAGTTTATAAAGTTGTTCGTGTTGTTATTGCTAGTTTTTCAATGTTGTACTAAGTAATATCTTATTTGTTATGCCTTTGTTTTATCGGTAACGGGTTTTTTTTTACCCTGAGAACTTTTTTGAGTTTGAAAATGTTAATGTTCGGAGTTATGGTTTGGTAATACATTTAGTAAGAATTAATTTCGAGTAATGCAAGAAACATAAACTATTCCACTCTCGTATTATGAGCTATCATATATTTGAACAGTTCATTTGGATTTAATATGATGGTTATGGCATCTGTCACCAACTGAGCAGAAACAGATTATCCTTTCCAGGGTAGATGCACTCGGTACTTGGAAAGATTCAAATTCTTCAATCTATACATTTCTTCGGTGAAGTAATTTGTGCATTGTTTTTCGTTTTATTTGTTATTCATTTAAGGCTGGACGATTTGGCTTTTTGGGGAGAGGTTTCGCTTGGTCTTCTTATACTTATGACATCTCATTGTGACTTTATTAATTCTTATATGTTCTTCAAAGTATCTTTAATTAAAATCTAAAACTTTTGACTCTTAATTTGGAATTGAGCTCATTTTTACTTTCTATCCCAAGTATATATATATAATGTTCTGGAAATATAAAGATTGAGAGATAATTTATCTTTACACATCGTTAACGAATATACCTCCAACGTATTTATAGAACAGATTTTGTCTGCTAAGTCGTCCAAAACAGCCACCTACACTATGATACTGATCATAGCAATTACTCCATAGTCTGTAGAACCGGCTGCTGCTACATTTCAGTCGGTATGCTGTAATTAAATATTATCTTTTTCTTAGGTGTTACTATGTTAAATGCTTAAACAGGTCTATATAATGTACAAAAAATACTTCTTTTCTAATTTTTTAAAATAATTTCCTTCTTTATCCAAACTCAAGAACCGAAACACAAAACATACAGAAAAATATTTGATTGTAGTCCTAAAAATATTGTATTCAATTGAGACTTCGTAAAAATGTCGTGACCGAAATCATAACCATGTTTTCAATGTAGCAACTCAAAATTACTTTGTGTTGAAATGATTTATCATTGATATGGTCATAATTTTAAATTACCTGTTTACAAAACTTATAATGTTTCCGAAATATTACGGATTTTCTACCCCAGGAATAGATTACCTTATCTGTATTTGGCAAAACATCTCGGAATTTGGGGTCATCAACGCTCTTCAACTTCGTACTTTATTTGGCCATTTTCCCTTTTTTGTTCAAGCGTTACTCTGATGACTTTTGCGAACAAATTTTAATTCTGGTATCCATGATGAGTTTATTTATATAGATCAGCAATATTCTTCTGACTTTATACAAACAAAGCGTTTACTAATTCGGTTTATATTTCGATACTTTATTTTCATTTTCTATTGAGGAATGGAAATTTTTAGTAACAACTTACAAGTTCCATGATACAAAAATCTATTACGTCTTATTTGGAATCCATGATGGCTTCTGTAATAGCCATAGCTGTATTTCCCTAGACTGTGTCCACCAAAAACGCCGCCATATGAACTGCCTGTAAATATTTATAAACATAAATCATTTTGTCACGTAAAATTTTAAAACAAATCTATTAACATTTTACTCGAACTAAAACTAACAGGCAATTGTTACAGTGAACATACGATTTCAAAATTGGTTGTGTCCGAGGTAATTCCCTGAATTAACCTTCGTGAGTAACGCAAAACAAAACGTTTCAAAGCCAAGGTAGTTAAAATATTTGAAAACGTATAAGACAATATCGAAAATTATATGTTGAGCCTTTACGGTTATTTTAAAATATATTTCCAGTTCTATAGTTTATAAAGTTGTTTGTGTTGTTTTTGCTAGATTTTTAATGTTGTACTAAGTAATATTTTATTTGCTATGCCTTTGTTTTATCGGTAACGGTTTTTTTTTACCCTGAGAACGTTTTTTGAGTTTGAAAATATTAGTATTCGGAGTTATGGTTTGGTAATACATTTAGTAGGAATTTATTTCGAGTTATGCAAGAAACATAAACTATTCCGCTCTCGTATAATGATCTATCATATGTTTGAACTGTTCATTTACTTTTAATCTGATGGTTATGGCATCTGTCACCAATTGAGCAGAAACAAATTACCCTTCCAGGGAAGATGCAATCGGTATTTGGAAATATATCAATTGTTCAATCTAAACATTTTCTTCTGTGAAGTATTTTGCGGCCTATTTGTCGTTTTATTTGTCATTCCTTTAAGGCTGGGCTATTTTGTTTTTTTGGGGAGGGGTTTCTTTTGGTCTTCTTATACTTATGATACTTCATTCTGACTTTATTAATTCTAACATGTTCTTCGAAGTATCTATAATTAAAATCTAAAACTTATGATTCTTTATTTGGAATTGAGTTTATTTTTACTTTCTATCCCAAGTATATTAAAAACTTTTTGGAAGCATCAAGATTTATAATTTGTCTTTACAATTCTTAAACGAAAATACCTCCAACGTATTTATAGAACAGATTTTGTCTGCTAAGTCGTCCAAAACAGCCACCTACACTATGATACTGATCATAGCAATTACTCCATAGTCTGTAGAACCGGCTGCTGCTACATTTCAGTCGGTATGCTGTAAATAAATATTATCTTTTTCAAAGCTGTTACTTTGTTAAATGCTTAAACAAGTCTACATAATGTAAAAAAAAAACTTCTTTTTCAATTTTTTTATATAATTTCCTTCTTTATCTAAATACAAGAACTGAAACACAAAACACAAAATAAAATGTTTGATTGTAGTCCTAAAAATATTGTATTCAATTGAGACTTCGTGAAAATGTCGTGACCGAAATCATAACCATGTTTTCAATAAAGCAACTCAAAATTAATTTGTGTTGAAATGATTTATCATTGATATGGTCATAAATTTAAATTACCTGTTTACAAACCTTACAATGTTTTCGAAATACTACAGATTTTCTTTTCCAGGAATAGATTACCTTATCTGTATTTGGCAAAACATTTCGGAATTTGGGGTTCTCAATGTTCTTCTACTTCGTACTTTATTTGACCATTTTCCCTTTTTTTATTCAAGCGTTACTCTGATGTCTTTTGCGTAAGAAAATTTTATTCTGGTATCTATGATGAGTTTATTTATATAGTTCGGCAATATTCTTCTGACTTTTTAAAACAAAGCGTTTACTAATTCGGTTTACATTTCGATACTTTATTTTCATTTTCTATTGAGGAATGTATATTTTAAGTAACAACTTACAAGTTCCATGATACAAAAATCTGTTATGTCTTATTTGGAATCCATGATGGCTCCTGTAATAACCATAGCTGTATTTCCCCAGACTGTATCCACCAAAAATGCCACCATATGAGCTACCTGTAAATATTTATAAACATAAATCATTTTGTCACGTAAAATTTTAAAACAAATCTATTAACATTTTACTCAAACTAAAACAAACAGACAATTGTTACAGTGAACATTAGACCTTTAAATTGGTCGCGCCTGAGGCGATTCCCTGAATTTACGATCGTTAGTAACGCAAAACAAAAGATTTCAAAGCCAAAGTAGTGTTAATACTTGAAAACGTATGATTTCTTATGAAAAATTATATGTTGTGCTTTTTACTTATTTTGAAATATATATCCGGGTCTATAGTTTATTAAGTTGTTTGTGTTGTTATTGCTAGTTTTTCAATGTTGTACTATAGTAATATTGTACTTGTAATGCCTTTGTTTTATCGGTTACGGTTTTCTTTACCTTGAGAACTTTTTTTAATTTGAAAATATTTTCATTCGGAGTTATGGTTTGGTAATACATTTATCAGGAATTTATTTCGAGTTATGCAAGAAAAATAAACTATTCCACTCTCGTATTATTAGCAATCATATGTTTGAACTGTTCATTTGTTTTTTTATGTGATGGTTATGGCATCTGTCACCAATTGACAAAAAACAGATTAGCCTTCCTGGGCAGATGCACTCGGTATTTGGAAAGATTCAAATTGTTCAATCTAAACTTTTCGTCTGTGAAGTATTTTGCGGACTGTTTGTTGTTTTATTTGTTATTCCTTTAAGGCTGGGCTATTTGGATTTTTTGATTAGGGGTTTCATTTGGTCTTCTTATATTTATGACATTTCATTTTGACTTTATTAATTCCTAAATGTTCTCCCAAGTATTTATCATTAAAATCTAAATCTTTTGACTCTTTGTTTGGAATTGAGTTTATTTTAACTTTCTATCCCAAGTATATTTAAAACTTTTTTGAAAAAAAAAGATTGATTATTTATCTCTATATATCGTTAACGAATATACCTCCAACGTATTTATAGAACAGATTTTGTCTTCTAAGTCGTCCAAAACAGCAACCTACACTATGATACTGATCATAGCAATCACTCCATAGTCTGTAGAACCGGCTGCTGCTACATTTCAGTCGGTATGCTATAATTAAATATTATCTTTTTTCCTAGGTGTTACTTTGTAAAATGCTTAAAACGGTCTATATAATGTAAAAAATACTTCTTTTCTAATTTATTTCAATAATTTCCTTCTTCATCTAAACACATGAACTGAAACACAAAACACAAAATGAAATGTTTGATTGTAGTCTTAAAAATACTGTATTGAATTGACTTTATTTATATCGTTTAGCAATATTCTTATGACTTTATACAAACAAAGCGTCTACTAATTCGGTTTATATTTCGATTTTTCATTTTTCATTTTCTATTGAGGAATGGATATTTTTAGTTACAACTTACAAATTCCATGATACAAAAATCTATTATGTGTTATTTGGAATCCATGATGGCTCCTGTAATAACCATAGCTGTATTTCCCGTGACTGTATCCACCAAAAATGCCACCATATGAGCTACCTGTAAATATTTATAACCATAATTCAATTTGCCACGTGAAATCTTAAAACAATTCAGTTAAAATTGTGTTCAAACTAACAGACAATTGTTACAGTGAATATAAGACTTATAAATTGGTTGCGTTCGAGGCAATTCCCTGATTTTACCTTCGTGAGTAACCCAAAACAAAAAGTTTCAAAGCCAAGGTAGTTTAAACACTTGAAAACGTATGAGACAATATCGAAAATTATATGTTGTGCCTTTACGGTTATTTTGAAATATATTTCCAGTTTATTGGTTTCTAAAGTTGTTTGTGTTGTTATTGCTAGTTTTTCAATGTTCTTCTAAAGCAATATTTTATTTGTTATGCCTTTGTGTTTATCGGTAACGGTTTTGTTTACCATGAGTTTGAAAATATTAACATGGATTAACGGTTTGGTCATAAAATTGGTAGGAATTTATTTCGAGTAATGCAAAAAACATAAACTTATTAACTCTTGTTTTATGGCCTATCATATGTGTGTACTCTTCAATTGCTTTTTATATGATTGTTATTGCATCTATCAATAGTTGACCAGAAGCAGATTACCCTTTCCAGGGCAGATGCACTCGGTACTTGGAAATATTCGAATTGTTCAATCTAAACTTTACTTCGGTGAAGTAATTTGTGGACTGTTTTTCGTTTTATTTGTTATTCAATTAAGGCTGGGCAATGTGGTTTTTGGGGAGGGGTTTATTTTGGTCTTCTTAGACTTATGGCATTTCATTGTGACTTTATTAATTTTTACATGTTCTCCCAAGTATTCATAATGAAACTTACAAACATAACAAAATATCAATTTTGTCTTCAAATATCGTTTTCTATATAAATACCTTCATTGCAGATATAGAACAGATGATGTATTTTAAAAATTGTGATTCATTATTAGAATTGAGTTTATTTTTACTTTCTATCGAAAGAAAATATTAAACTTTTTGAAAACATTGAAATTTATAATTTTTCTTTATATATCGTTAACGAATATACCTCCAACGTATTTATAGAACAGATGCTGTCTTCTAAGCCGTCCAAAACAGGCACCTACACTATGATACTGATCATAGCAATTACTCCATAGTCTGTAGAACCGGCTGCTGCTACATTTCAGTTGATAAGCTGTAATTAGATATTATCTTTGTCTTATGTATTACTTTGTTGAATGCTAAGACAAGTCTATATAATGTAAAAAAAATACTTCTTTTCTATGTTTTTAAAATAATTTCTTTCTTTAACTAAACAAAAGAACTGAAACACAAAACAAAAAACGGAAAATAAAATGTTTGAGTGTAGTCCTAAAAATATTGTATTCAATTGAGACTTCGTGAAAATGTCGTGACCGAAATAATAACCATGTTTTCAATGAAGCAACACAAAAATTACTTTGTGTTGAAATGATTTATCATTGATATGGTCATAATTTTGAATAATCTGTTTACAAAACTTAGAAAGATTTCGAAATACTACATACTTTCTACCCACGGAGTAGATTACCTTATCTGTATTTGGCAGAACATTTCGGAATTTGGGGTCATCAATGTTCTTCAACTTCGTACTTATTTGGCCATTTTCATTTTTTTTAATCAAGCGTAACTGGTGACTTTTGCGCACAAAATTTTGATCCTGGTATCTTTAATGAGTTTATTTATAAAGTTCAGCAATACTCTTATGACTTTATACAAACAAACCTATTTTACTTTCATTTTCTATTGATGAATGGATATTTTTAGTAACAACTTACAAGTTCCATGATACAAAAATCTATTATGTGTTATTTGGAATCCATGATGGCTCCTGTAATAACCATAGCTATATTTCCCGTGACTGTATCCACCAAAAACGCCACCATATGAGCTACCTGTAAATGTTTATAAACATAAATCAATTTGTCATGTAAAATTTAAAAATTAATTCAGTAAAAATTGTACTAACACACAATTGTTACAGTGAACATAATGCTTTTAAATTGGTTGCATCCGAGGCGAGTCCCTGAACTTACATTCGTGAGTAACCCAAAACAATAAGTATCAAAGCCAAGATAGTTTAAATACTTGAAAACGTATGAGACAATATCGAAAATTATATGTTGTATCGTTACGGTTATTTTGAAATATATTTCCAGTTTTTTTCGTTTATAAAGTTGTTTGAGTTGTTATTACAAGTTTTTCAATGTTCTACTAAAGCAATATTTTATTTGTTATGCCTTTGTGTTTATCGGTAACGGTTTTGTTTACCATAAGAACGTTTTTTTATTTGAAAATATTAACATTCGGAGTTATGGTTTTGTCATAAAATTGGTAGGTATTTATTTCGAGTTATACAAGAAACATAAACTAATTCACTCTTTTATTATGAGCTATGATATGATTTTACTGTTGAATTGCTTTTTATATGATTGTTACTGCATCTATCAATAGTTAACCAGAAGCAGATTACCCTTTCCAGAGCAGATGCACTCGGTACTTGGAAAGATTCAAATTGTTCAATCTAAACATTTCTTCGGTGAAGTAATTTGTGGACTGTTTTTCGTTTTATTTGTTATTCATTTAAGGCTGGGCGATGTGGTTTTTTGGGGAGGGGTTTCTTTTGTTCTTCTTATACTTATGACTATACATTATGACTTTATTAATTCCTACATGTTCTTCGAGGTATCTTTAATTAAAATCTAAAACTTATGATTCTTTATTTGGAATTGAGTTTATTTTTACTTTCTATCCCAAGTATAAATAGAACTGTTTGGAAACATCAAGATTTATAATATGTCTTTACATATCTTCAACGAATATACCTCCAACGTATTTATAGAACAGATTTTGTCTGCTAAGTCGTCCAAAACAGCCACCTACACTATGATACTGATCATAGCAATTACTCCATAGTCTGTAGAACCGGCTGCTGCTACATTTCAGTCGGTATGCTGTAATTAAATATTATCTTAGGTGTTACTTTGTTAAATGCTTATACAAGTCTACATAATGTAAAAACATACTTCTTTTTTAATTTTTTAATATAATTTCCTTCTTTATCTAAACACAAGAACTGAAACACAAAACACAAAATAAAATCTTTGACTGTAGTCCTAAAAATATTGTATTCAATTGAGACTTCGTGAAAATGTCGTGACCGAAATTATAACCATGTTTTCAATGAAGCAACTCAAAATTACTTTGTGTTGAAATGATTTATCATTGATATGGTCATAAATTTAAATTACCTGTTTACAAATCTTAGAATGTTTTTGAACTACTACGGATTTTCTTTTCCTGGAAAAGATTACCTTATCTGTATTTGGCAAAACATTTCGGAATTTGGGGTCCTCAATGCTCTACAACATCGTACTTAATTTGGCCATTTTCCCTTTTTTTATTCAAGCGTTACTCTGATGACTTTTGCGTTAGACAATTTTAATTCTGGTTTTTATGATGAGTTTATTTATATAGTTCAGCAATACTCTTCTGACTTTTGAAAACAAAGCGTTTACTACCTCGGTTTATACTTCGATACTTTATTTTCACTTTCTATTGAGGAATGGATATTTTAAGTAACAACTTACAAGTTCCATGATACAAAAATCTGTTATGTCTAATTTGGAATCCATGATGGCTCCTGTAATAACCATAGCTGTATTTCCCGTGACTGTATCCTCCAAAAATGCCACCATATGAGCTACCTGTAAATATTTATAAACACAAATCATTTTGTCACGTAAAATTTTAAAACAAATCAGTTAACATTTTACTTAAACTAAAACTAACAGACAATTGTTACAGTGAACATTAGACTTTTAAATTGGTCGCGCCTGAGGCGTTTCCCTGAATTTACCTTCGTGAGTAACTCAAAACAAAAAATTTCAAAGCCAAAGTAGTGTAAATACTTGAAAACGTATGAGATAATATAGAAAATTATATGTTGTGCTTTTTACTTATTTTGAAATATACATCCAGTTCTATACTTTATAAAAGTTGTTCGTGTTGTTATTGCTAGTTTTTCAATGTTGTACTATAGTAATATTTTACTTTTTATGCCTTTGTTTTATCGGTAACCGTTTTGTTTACCTTGAGAACGTTTTTTTAGTGTGAAAATATTATTATTCGGAGTTATGATTGGTAATACATCTAGTAGGAATTTATTTCGAGTTTTGCAAGAAACATAAACTTTTCCACTCTCGTATTATGAGCTATCATATGTTTGAACTGTTCATTTTTTTTTTATATGATGGTTATTGCATCTGTCACCAACTGAGCAGAAACAGATTAGCCTTCCCGGGAAGATGCACTCGGTACTTGGAAAGATTTAAAGTGTTCAATCTAAACATTTCTTCTGTGAAGTATTTTGCGGATTGTTTGTCGTTTTATTTGTTATTCCTTTAAGGCTGGGTGATTTGGTTTTTTGGGGAGAGGTTTCTTTTGGTCTTCTTATACTTATGACATTTCATTTTAACTGTATTAATTCCTTCATGTTCTCCCAAGTAACTATAATTAAAACCTAAAACTTTTGACTCTTTATTTGGAATTGAGTTTATTTTAATTTTCTATCCTAAGTATATATAAAAACTTTTGGAAACAAAAAGATTGATAATTTATCTGTATATATCGTTAACGAATATACCTCCAACGTATTTATAGAACAGATTTTGTCTTCGAAGTCGTCCAAAACAGCAACCTACACTATGATACTGATCATAGCAATTACTCCATAGTCTGTAGAACCGGCTGCTGCTACATTTCAGTCGATATGCTGTAATTAAATATTATCTTTTTCTTATGTGTTACTTTGTTAAATGCTTAAAGATGTCTACATAATGTAAAAAATACTTCTTTTCTAATTTTTTTTTAATAATTTCCTTCTTTATCTAAACACAAGAACTGAAACACAAAACACAAAAGGAAATGTTTGATTGTAGTCTTATAAATATTGTATTCAATTGAGACTTCGTGAACATGTCGTGACCGAAATTAGAACCATGTTTTCAATGAAGCAACTCTTTATCTTGGTTTCTATGATGAGCTTATTTATATCGTTCAGCAAAATTCTTATGACTTAATACAAACAAAGCGTCTACCAATTCAGTTTATATTTCGATATTTCATTTTCATTTTCTATTAAGGAATGGATATTTTTAGTGACAACTTACAAATTCCATGATACAAAAATCTATTATGTGTTATTTGGAATCCATGATGGCTCCTGTAATAACCATAGCTGTATTTTCCGTGACTGTATCCACCAAAAACGCCACCATATGAGCTACCTGCAAATATTTATAACCATAAATCAATTATACACGTAAAATCTTAAAACAATTCAGTTAAAATTGTGTTCAAACTAACAGACAATTGTTACAGTGAACATAAGACTTATAAATTGGTTGCGTTCGAGGCAATTCCCTGATTTTACCTTCGTGAGTAACCCAAAACAAAACGTTTCAAAGCCAACGTAGTTTAAACACTTGAAAACGTATGAGACAATATCGAAAATTATATGTTGTGCCTTTTCGGTTATTTTGAAATATATTTCCAGTTTATTGGTTTATAAAGTTGTTTGTGTTGTTATTGCTAGTTTTTCAATGTTCTACTAAAGCAATATTTTATTTGTTATGCCTTTGTGTTTATCGGTAACGGTTTTGTTTACCATGAGAACGTTTTTTTTTAGTTTGAAAATATTAACATTCGGATTTACGGTTTGGTCATAAAATTGGTAGGAATTTATTTCGAGTTTTGCAAAATACATAAACTTATTCACTCATGTTTTATGGCCTATCATATGTTTGTACAGTTCAATTGCTTTTTTTATGATTGTTTCTGGATCTATCAATAGTTGACCAGAAGCAGACTACCCTTTCTAGGGCAGATGCACTCGGTACTTGGAAAGATTCGAATTGTTCAATCTACTGTTATACAATCCTTTATAGCTTGCTGTTCGGTGTGAGTCAATGCTCCGTGTTGAAGGCCGTACATTGACCTTTAATGGTTTACTTTTATAAATTGTAACTTGGAATAAGAGTTGTCTCATTGGCACTCGTACCACATCTTCCTATATCTATTTTCTTCGGTGAAGTAATTTGTGGACTGTTTTTCGTTTTATTTGTTATTCCTTAAGGCTGGGCGATGTGGTTTTTTGGGGAGGGGTTTCTTTTGGTCTTCTTAGACTTATTGCATATCATTGTGACTTTATTATTTCCTACATGTTCTCCCAAGTACTCATAATGAAACTTTAAACATAACAAAATATAGATTTTGTCTTCAGATATCGTTTTCTATGTAAATACCTTCACTGCAGATATAGAACAGATGATGTATTCTAAAACTTATGATTCATTATTAGAATTGAGTGTATTTTTACTTTCTATCCAAAGTAAATATTAAACTTTTTGAAAACATTGAGATTTATAATTTTTCTTTATATATCGTTAACGAATATACCTCCAACGTATTTATAGAACAGATTTTGGCTTCTAAGTCGTCCAAAACAGCCACCTACACTATGATACTGATCATAGCAATTACTCCATAGTCTGTAGAACCGACTGCTGCTACATTTCAGTTGGTATGCTGTAATTAGATATTATCTTTTTCTTATGTATTACTTTGATGAATGCTTAAACAAGTCTATATAATGTAAAAAAAACTTCTTTTCTATTTTTTTTAAATAATTTCCTTCTTTATCTGAACACAAGAACTGAAACACAAAACACAAAATAAAATCTTTGATTGTAGTCCTAAAAATATTGTATTCAATTGAGACTTTGTGAAAATGTCGTGACCGAAATTATAACCATGTTTCCAATGGAGCAACACAAAAATTACTTTATGTTGAAATGATTTATCATTGATATGGTCATAATTTTGAATAATTTTACAAAACTTAGAATGTTTTCGAAATACTACATAGTTTCTACCCCAAGAACAGATTACCTTATCTGTATTTGGCAAAACATTTCGGAATTTGGGGTCCTCAATGTTCTTCAACTTCGTACTTATTTGGCCATTTTCATTTTTCAATCATGCGTTATTTATGACTTTTGCCTACAACATTTTAATCCTGGTATCTATGATGAGTTTATTTATATAGTTCAGCAATACTCTTATGACTTTATACAAATAAACTGTTTACTAATTCGGTTTATATTTCGATATTTTTTTTTTCATTTTCTATTGAGGAATGGATATTTTTAGTAACAACTTACAAATTCCATGATACAAAAATCTATTATGTGTTATTTTAAATCCATGATGGCTCCTGTAATAACCATAGCTATATTTCCCTAGACTGTATCCACCAAAAACGCCACCATATGAGCTACCTGTAAATATTTATAAACATAAATCAATTTGTCATGTAAAATTAAAAACAAATCAGTTAAAATTGTAATTTAACATACACACAATTGTAACAGTGAACATAAGACTTTTAGATTGGTTGCATCCGAGGCGATTCCTTGAATTTACCTTCGTGAGTAAAGCAAAACAAAAAGTTTCAAAGCCAAGGTAGTTTAAATACTTGAAAACGTATGAGACAATATCGAAAATTATATTTTGTGCCTTTACGGTTATTTTGAAATATATTTCCAGTTAATTGGTTTATAAAGTTGTTTGTGTTGTTATTGCTAGTTTTTTAATGTTCTACTAAAGCAATATGTTATTTGTTATGCCTTTGTGTTCATCGGTAACGGTTTTGTTTACCATGAAAACGTTTTTTTGAGTTTAAAAATATTAACATTCGGATTTACGGTTTGGTCTTTAAATTGGTAGAAATTTATTTCGAGTTATGCAAAAAACATAAACTTATTCATTCTTGTTTTATGGCCTATCATATGTTTGTACTGTCCAATTGCTTTTTATATAATTGTTACTGCATCTATCAATAGTTGGCCAGAAGCAGACTACCCTTTTCAGGGCAGATGCACTCGGTACTTGGAGTGATTCGAATTGTTCAATCTAAACTTTTCTACGGTGAAGTAATTTGTGGACTGTTTTACGTTTTATTTGTTATTCATCTAAGGCTGGGCGATGTGGATTTTTGGCAAGGGGTTTCGTTTGGTCTTCATAGACTTATGGCATTTCATTGTGACTTTATTTATTCCTACATGTTTTACAGGTTATAACGTTTGTCATTAGTTGCGCAGAAACAGATTATCCTTTCGGAGAAGGTACGTTCAAAATTGGTATTTGGAAAGGTCAGAATTGTTCATTCTACATAATTATATTGCTTAATTAACCACTTAATCTTTTTTAAATGTTTTAGCCCTCAACTGTTAAGTCTCGATCAGCAGAACAATTAAAAATAAGATAACAAAAATACCGAACGCCAAAGAAAATTCAAAACGGAACGTCGCTTATCAAATGGCAAAATCAATAGCCCAATTACATCAAACGAATGGAAAACAACTGTCATATTATTGACTTGGTACAGGCATTGGGTAAAAGGTACATGTACAAAATCGCACGAACAGGAAATGAAAAGTATTTAACTCTTCTATACCGTCTATAAGTATGAGCAGAGTAATGATATACCACTGTGCATTAGAAATATTGTTTACAGAAACTGAAAAAGCACAAAGTAGTTAACCTATTGAAAAGTCCTACAGTCTACAACCGCCAGCTGTTCTTCTGAGTAGGTTTTAGACAGTAACGTCATAAACATTAGATGGAGACACAGTCATGTACAATGCCAAAAATAAATGTGCATGGAATAACAATGCAAGTAAGAAATAAAAGAAACATTTACTTTAAGTTTCAAACAGTAAATTAAAAACTAATGTAAATAGTCAATTAGATTATTCGATATGTTATTTGAAAACAAGTCAAAATTTAATACCTTTATGATAAATTCCAAACAGATGTCTTTTCCTCAGATATCCAAAGCAAGTACTTCTACTATGGTATCTTGTGTAACAGCTCCTCCAACTTCTGTAGAAACGCCTCCTTGAACATCTCAATTTGTACCCTGAATTAATACAATTTTCGATGCAAAATTTGTATCAGAAAAATTCATTCGCTTTTTTGTTATAGCAAAATATATGCAAAAAAGACAAAACAATTAAGTCTTTCTATACTTTATAAAACTTGGTACATTATATAGGTTGGTATATAATTGCAAATATAAAGTAAACATTTTGTATAAAAAGCGGCAAATTATTTTTACATAAAAAAATTGATCAAGTTGGTTTAAACAACTGTTTCTCCAAGCAAATCAAATATGTTGTCAATCAAAAAACAAAGAATTTTGATAATATAAATGTAAGAGAACTTTGTTTAAATCAGGGTGGTTTTTTTTTTATATAAAGTATGGTTTAGCCGTCCGTTATACAAGATATTTATATCTATATATATCATTTTTTATAAGGTAGCTTTACGTTAAAGGCGAACATATAGTATCAATATTTTCAAAACAACTTCAATCATTTTGCTGAAAACAATAAGTGGTGAAAACATTAGTCTTAACAACGTTTTAAAGTGTATTGACAATGGCAACAATGTCTCCCCTTGCCTCCTTCAATTTTTCCGTTGTTTATCTTTCTATACTGTTACTTTTGGTGTCGTTTAGCGATTAGTCATACAGATGATGGTCTTGAACGAATGCTTATTCTATAACTATGAAGAATGATAGAAACCGGTAACAATGTAAGAAAACTTTTAAGTAGTAGATGTGTTATGCCTGCCAATGAGACAACAATTTACCAGAGACAGTGACTAGTTTTTTTCAAAAGATATGAGAAGTTTCTGGCTATTCTTACATTATAAATCTAACTAACACGTTTCATCGTGAAAATGTTCATAAAATTCATTGAATACCTACCATGACCGCCGTAGAAAAATCTGTTGTGGCTGAGTTTGAATCCATGGTATTTTTTATAATAACTAAGATAATCTCCTCCATATCCATGACCTTTGAATCATGAAAATAAGTAAGTTGGATTAATATATGTCCTCGGTTAAGTCGAGAGAGAAAAATTAAGATTTGGAACGTAAAAAATGAAAATACGTCATAGAAAGAAAATACATTGAATATTCAATAGTGTCTCCTCTCTTCACTTTTAACTGTATAAATAAAGAATTCAGTTTCCAATATTATTTTTAGTTGCAGTGACAACTACAGTATCTTATAACTAAATGAAAAATGATTCCAGGTGGACTTTTACATTTAATCGGCAAAAGCAGATTATTTATAGGTTTCATAACGAGTGAGAATTGGATCTCACAAGTTGTTAAACCTATTTCTCTATGGTCAACACTCTCGTTGTGTTAAATTAAAAATTCCGCGAATAGTTTATCTAGTCTTTTGCACATACAAGTATGACATCATATGTCCTGTTCCGGTGTCAAACTTTAACATCGGACATCACTTAAAACTTTTCGTACGCTTCATGATGTGTTAAAATTTGACAAAAAGAAGATTTTCAGGTGAAAAGTGTGAGTATTTTGTATATTATTGAAGAAATCAAATATGTCGTTGCCATAGACGAAATGTACATCGTCTTAACCTTTGAATGTCATCAGTGACCTAACGAATAGCCAATGGAAATGTGGTAATATCGTATCATAATGCTGTATAGGCCAATCAAAATAACGCAGATTTTTGTATGATTTGTATTGTGCAGTGTGATACGAGAAATATCTCTTCATGCTAGAAATAGATAACAGGCAGCATGTCAATTGTTTTGTTTGTTTTCGGACAGTTTTTAAAAACAAAAGTACTTAGTAGTTCATTTCGAAGTTTGACAACTACAATTTTATGTATAAAGGTTAACAATATATTTGATATTGTATGTTTATTGTTAAGTTACCTTTATAAGTTCTAAAGAGATGTCGTTTTCTAAATACTCCAAAACAACGATTTCTGCTATGGTATTTGCCATAACAACGTCTCCACAGTCGGTAAAAACGGCTCTTTCCACATCTCAGTTTGTACCCTGATATGAAATGAAATGGTTTTGGCTCTAGAGTTCACAGATTTTTAAACTTTTTTAATGTTTTTGTCTCGATTTATTCGAATTATATTTGTTTCATCAAGATATTTGTGTTTACCGTTTTATCTTTTGAGACCAAATGTGTTTAATTAAAATAACACAACAACTGACAATCATGAGAGAATGTGCGCTGGCTTGTAGTGTAGTATATCTACAGTAAATTACCTAGTCCATGGTAAGAAAATCTGCGATGGCTTATCTTGAATCCATGGTACTTTTTGTAGAATGACAATCCATGATAACCATGATGGCTCGACTGTCGGATTACGACGCTTTTGTAAATAGGATATCCTAAATAAAAACAAACAGAAATAAATCAAGTCATTTGTACATTTTTGAAAATGAATATTAATGTCTTTTCTGAATTCGCAAATGAATTTCATAATTGATCATAATAATCAACATTTGTCTATAATATTCATTTACTTAAGGAATGACTGTAATATTTTTTCTGTCTATGAAGAAATAACATCAAAAATGTGGTGCACACTGAATTACCCGCGTAGCGGGTTATTTTAAAGTGTGCACCACATTTTTTATGTTATTTCGAATAGACAGAAAAATATTACAGTCATTTCTTATAATTTAATTCTAAATTCCATTTTAAACCGGAGTAAACCATGAAAAAACGTTGATGACGTCACGGTCACATGACAAAATTATGTCTATGAGCTGATAAACAAAACACGTCAGCCAATCAGAAGACGCGTTACATCCAAAATTAAATTAATATAATATAATGAGAAAAATTATTTATTACATATAAGGAATTATATAATAATTTGAAAAAAATAAAGCGAAAAAGAGTTTTGATAGTCAGTTTCAATTATCTTTAGGATTTCCCTATTGTTTTACTTGGCATATGCAATCATCATACTCACTGTTATATACTTTAGGACCATAACTTCCATAACTACTGTACCCGGATGTGGAAACTGGTGAAAAATATAATAGTGTATTTATACTGAATGTGGACAATATGTGTAAAACTGTATTTAAATTTAAGGAACTAATCACTAGGCATAAGGTTTTAACATTCGTCATAAAAAGAAATTGTGTTATGTGGCCACTTAGTGCATGCATTTTATTCCAGATGCGTGATTTCACTTTCAGTTTTCATAGATATTCGAATTACTTAGCTAATGTTTCAGTATTGTTGTATTTTTCATAAATGTTTTACTTAGCTTATGTTTCAGTATTGTATTTTTTTACTCGCATACAATGGTAATTGTAATTGTATGCTAAATCATTTGATCAGAAGGTTGAAGGTGTGTGTAAGGGGTTGGTATAAATGGGTATTTTAAGCAATTAAGACACTCTTATTGTTCATTTTGCATTTGAACTCCACCCGAGTTGTGTTGGTACCTTCGATTTCTCTAACCTATGTATATTCACTTTCAATTGGTGGTAAATTGATCATTATTCCATTCACAATAAAACGTAAAACTTGTGTCTAATCCGTTCGTTTAGTTTCTGAACAATAGAATATTTCTAAACTAATGAAACATATATATATTAAAAGATATCTTTTCAAAGATGAGCTTGATTCTGTGAATTCTTAGAGAAAATATTATATTTATATATTTGAATAAGAGATGCAGTATCAATGTTAATCATATGTTTCCAAAAAAAAAGTTAACGAACATTTTAAAATTATTAATTTCAGTGACATACAATTATTGTGAAATATTAAATGTACTACCTGCCGCAACCACTACTAAGAGGAGTATACATATCCCTCGAGCCATGTTGAAGGATATGATGTCAGGACTATAGTGCTCGGTTTATATAGTAACTGGTATCAACCATATGTTACCATAAAGTATGTATTGTTACTGTAATACGGTTTTGTTGTCTTTTCTTACACAACAATGGTATGTAATCTACGGTAAATATTTTGATGTAATGGAATTAACAATCTTTTTCCCACTTCATTAGTAAATTTGATATTTCCTGTTAAAACTGCAGAAAATGAAACCCTTGAAAAAGCCAATACATTTTGCAATCGACCAATAACATTAACTAGTGTTTCATTCATCATTTTGTAAGGCATTCGTGATGTTGTTATATGATAATAACACTATAGTTTCTTTTTATTATATTAAACATTCTAAAGGATATAACATTTTAACTTTTCGGTCTCCAATATCATATTAAGCTGGATTTATTTGTTTTGTGGTCTTGCATTTTCTTATAAAGCGTAGATTTTTGTGGGATGGATTTGGTTACTACTCTGTGGTGTCTTATATATTTAATCTTGCTTTTCCTATATTACCTCTATTAGAAAAAAAATTACCATGACATATTATTCACTTCAGAAGGCGAGCTAATGTCCACATGTAATTAGTGTATGCTAAAAGTTTCATTACACTGATTCAGAATTTTTAAACAATATTGTTCCTACATTCAATCTATTTCCCTCATACAAAAATTACACAATCAATTTTACAATATATCTTTGGGATGAAAATCATAGGATGAAATGTATTTATCAAAGAAAAATCTATGGAAAAAATAGATATATGTGATGTATAATTGAATTTATAAATTTTAACTAATTACAATAAAAGAACAGAGTTCCAATGTCCCCCGCGTTGCACATATTTTATCTATCCAAGGTACAAGGGCATTAACTAAAAAAAGCATTTTTTGTTTGTTCTATAAGACTTTTTTTTTAATATCTTAGAGAAATGAAGGCTTCAGAGCAAATGCAATGTGATTTCCATTATAATTAATATTTCCAAAGGGCATAAATCGTCAAAAATATTTGATCAGAACTTATTTTCAAAAGTGTCAAAGACATTGCTGATATAAACCTATGATATGAGTTTCATAAAATTCTGGCAAGAATTGAACTTATGAGAGCGCTAACAATGCAATTGTTCGTGTAATCAATATTTCCAAGGGGCATAACTCTCTTAAAAATAATTGATCGGCACTGATTTTCGAACTCGTCAAAGACATTGATGATATAAACCTATGGTATTAATTTCATAAAAATCTGGCAAGAATTGTACATATAAGGGCACCCATAAGGCAATTTTCCATATAATTAATATTTCCAAGGAGCATAACTCTTTTAGAATTTTTTTGAACGGCACTGATTTTCGAACTCATTGCTGATATAAACCTATGATTTTAGTTTCAGAAATTCTGGCTAGAATTGTACACATGAGGGCGCTAACAATGCAATTTTCCATATAATTAATGATTCCAAGGGCATAATTCTTTAAAAAGTAATTGATCGGCACTGATTTTCGAACTCGTCCAAGACATTGCTGATATAAACCTATGATATAAGTTTCATAAAAATCTGGCAAGAATTGAACAAATGAGAGCGCTAACAATGCAATTTTCCTTATAATTAATGTTTCCAAGGGGCATAACTCTTTTAAAAATAATTGATCAGGACTGATTTTCGAACTCGTCCAAGACATTGCTGATATAAACCTATGATATAAGTTTCATAAAAATCTGGCAAGAACTGTACACGTGAGAGCGCTAACAAGACAGGACGGATGGACGGACGGACGATATTTCTATGTCAAAAGGAAGTTGACTTTAAAGATAAACATATGCATTTAGCCTTGCAAACATTTGGTCTCGATCATACCTGATGACTCATGTTCATGAAAATCTTGGTGTAAAATCTAACGTTGATATGTCAAGAGATAACAGATGGAAAATGAGGGATATGAGGGGTAAATCTATACTCGTAGGTAAATAATCAAATAATAAAACCAATGACCCACAAAACATTACACAAAAAGGTTCAAATTATAAATTAGGCAACGCAATTCTTTTGGATAGTAAGTTGGTTATTTTCTTTTTCTTTTTAGAATTATTAAAAAAAAATAATCCTATTCATTCATTAAATTTTCTGTGTCTTATCAATCTATTTGATGCAATAAAAAAATGTTCTTAGATGTGGAAAAACATTTCTAGTATAGTGTCTTGAATTCATTATCTAATCTTAACATTACCTTAGATATTTTTGATTTCGTGTTTAATCGTTTATTTTTCATGTCACCTTTGACTTTCCTGTCGTCCTTAATATGCATCAAATATTTGCTACTGGACAGAAAGCAATTATAATCAATCAATCAATCTACTTTCCTTATCTGAGGAAGGTTTTATAAATAGCATCACGTTTGTTTGTGATTTTATTAGATTGCTTGTGCGATAGCAATTTTGTCTAGAATAATGGTCATGTACTTTGACCTTGACACTAATTGAATGATTCATGGGATTCAAATTTACACTGTATGACGCATTGAAAAAACTAGATACTTTAGGGGAAGGGTTTCTAGCATCACTTACGAGAAATACACTTTCGAATGCGAATACTTTGTATCAAATTAGTTTCGATAACTTGCAATTGTAAATGTGCCTTCAAACACAAGCCGTCAATATCAGCAAATAAAGCTGTACCTTAACGATTAATTCACAAATATAGATTTCATACTTTGTATGCACACAATTTGATTACTTCTTAGTAGATACACAATCAGTGTTACATTAAATTATAAAACTTTACCAGTTTTTTTTTTTGCTATAGCTTCCACCCGATTTATAATAAGTTTTCTTACAGAAAAATAACTGTTCTGGTATTTTTGTATAAACGATTCTATATATAGAAATAAGGAGATGCGGTATGACTGTCAATGCGACAACTATATATATCCACCGAAGTTCAAATGAAGTGGATGTAAGCAATTATAGACAATCGCACGGCCTTCAACAATGCGAAAAACCCATACCGTATAGTCGGCTATAAAAGTTCCCGACACGAAAAATATGAAACAATTCAATTGAGAAAACAACCGGCCTAATTTATAACAAAACAATTTATGAAAAACAAATATGACAGACATGAACCAACGACAACCACTGAACTACAGGCTCCTGACTTGGAACAGGCACATAAAAAATATGATTGTATTTTTCATTTTTTAAATCATTATTAAAACCTTGTAATCTTTTCATGTAAAAATAAACATCAAAATATTTTCCTTACAATCAGAAAAACTAAGAATTTGAAGAATATATTGACACGTAATTGAATTATAAAACTACAGACAGGACAATCAATTAATACTCATTCTCTGTAACCACTTAAACTTTTTCGGCACACATAGTCACCGATCTTTCTGAAAATTGGCTGATATGTATATCCTATTAGCCTAGTCAGAAAAATAATGCCAACCGATATATATATTGGTTAGTTACCATGGTAACAGCGGAGAAAGTTGGGAATTTTGAGATAAATACAATATTTGGTGTAGTGCTGTGAAATTATGCGGCTACATCTATTAAAAAGAGACACAAAAACAATTAATTTCAGCCTTGTTTTTATCAAAAATCAAAAAAAGTTATGGGGAATCTACCTAGAAACATCTGAAATTAATTTCTAAAAAATGGTCATTGTGCAATATTCCTCACAATACGAATTATCTCCCTTTGACGGGTTACACTAATGACTGGACCAAAACGAAAATGCTAATAACTTTTTTTATTTCTTAAACATTTTGTCAAATTTGAATTGCTATAAATTAAGTCCATTTAATACATAAATATAAGAAAAAATATAGAAAACTTTTAAATCTTCATAAAACGTGACCTGACCAACGCTGACAATGACAGGACCAAATGAAAATGTTCATTACTTTTTTATTTCTTAAAGGATTTATGTTAAATTTGAAATATAATAAAATTTGATCATCTAATATATAACTATATGAAAAAATATACAAAAAAATATACAAAACTTCCGAAAAATTCCGAAAACGTGACCCTTCTAACGTTAACAATGACCTGACCAACAACAGCAATGACCTAACCGATGAAAATTTCTGTGTTATTTTATATAATAAAAAAAAGGGGGGAAAATATATGTTTTTGGGTAAAAAAAAAATTGACCTACCAACGTTGACTGTGTCCTGATCGTTGTACTACCTAATACTTATTTATATCTTATAGGATTTGCGTAAAATTTATATAAAAAAAAACCATTAGATTGAATGGTAAAGTCTTTATCAAATAATAAAAAAAAAACTGGGAAAAACAGTTTAGGGTACTGTGACGGGCACCAGGTTATTTAAACTGTTTATGGTATTGAGTAGTATATTGTAAATTATGTTGTATATTACCGGTTATAATTTAACACGTTTGATCACAAATATAAAGTAACACACAAAAGGTGTGAAGTAGGCCAAAAATACATGTAAGTTGATAAATCCAATATAATTGTTTTTTAATATTTTCATAACAGTAAATAATTATTTCCACGTACAACTTAAGGCATGCCCGAGACTTGTGTAGGATATCTTGGTAGTTTTAAATATTTTCATAAAAAAATTAAACATTTCGCGGACTACTTGAGGTATGCCCGAGCCCCTGCATGCACGATATCTTGGTAGTTTAAAATATTTTAATAAAATATAAGTAAACATATTCAACGACTTAACTTGAGGTATGCCAAATGTTCCCGAAAGTCAATACATTTATCGTTTGCTAATATGTTTGAAAAGCATTTTATATTTTCTTACTTGATAAAAGTAATGGTTCAATCTAAGTATTTCTATAAATTTGATGCAAAACCTATTACATATAAATAGGTATAAAGTCATTTTTCCTGGTCATGATAACGGTCAGATTATAGGACAGAAAGTCACAGACAAAAAGACAAGGACAAAAAGTCACATGTATTATATGTTATAAACATTGAGTCCTGTTTCAAAGTAAAATC